AAATTTTATTCATATATATATATATATATCTATGTCGGCTTATATTTTTAAACATATGTATGTATATACGGACGGGTATACAAATTTGATAAATTTATTGTGAAGGAAACTTTTTAACAAGAATAGCTTCAAGATATACTTGTATAATAAAAATTTCACACGAAAGCCTCTTGATTAGCTCTAGAGTTCTCTTAAAAAGTATTTTGCAAAAAAAATGTAGTTCCAGTGAAAATTTCGCGATTTTTTTTTTCAAATAGTTGCAATCAAAAAAAATCCTTCCTGAAATCTTTAGGAATTGTATCTCAAAGACCTGTGTAAAATTTCATGGAGAACGTTTCAGTAATTCTTGAGGAATCTTGAAAACCGAATTCAAAAACAAACCTAATAAAGCACTAAAAAGTTCGATTTTTTGAAACCCATGTAACCGCTTAAGAGAAACGAAAGTGAATATTTTGGCACTAATTTTGCAAAAAATGTAGCTTTTACGTTTCCTTTTTCAGTTGCTAAAGTCAGATATCTTCCTTAAGAATACACAACTAGTTTCCAATACAACTTTTCAATCAAGAAATTGCTTTTAGTCATACAGTTTGTATGACAGCAGTATTCTATAGTGTTCCAACAAAATACGTGTACGAAGTTTCAGATCGATGGCTTAAAAACCGAGGGGCTAGTTCGCGTATATTCAGACAGACAGACGGATATAAGCTGTTCAGGTTATAATGAATCGTTAATAGACTCTTATTTTACAACTTTTTTAAGGGGGTCATACCAGGAAATCGAGTTTCTTCTTGTCATAAATTACTGTCTTAAAATGTCTAAAATACGGTAATGAAGAGAGTTCTTAAAGTTTCAATAGTTTTAAAGATACAGCAGTCAGAAGAAGTCGCTGCTCGGAGCGCAGTGCTGAGGACTGGAAACATTAAACGCGGTGTTCTCAAAACTATGTTTTCGAACTTTCCTCTAACGTATCTCAAAAACGGCTCGACCGAATGACTTGTAGTTTGTATGACACACTCAGCACAAGAAATGGAGCAAAATTTTTGTTTTTTTTTTATAGCAAAAACCGAAAAAAATATCAACAGAACTAGCACTTTTTTTAAATGCAACAAAATTTTTAATTTCATTATTTTCATTTGATATTACTCCATTCTGTGCATTTGGGCTTACAGATTAAAATGCCGTTAATTTTTTTGTTTGTTAATAAATCAAGAGTCGGAATCATGGAGGTAGTACGAGTACGTACGTATTTTTAACTCAAAATTTTTATTTATACTGTCGAATTGTATGTTTATAAATGGTTATAAACTTAAAGCTCAAACTGTTTACTAGTCATAGAAAAAAATCTTGAAATTCTCTAAATAGCCGTCACGTGTAGGACTCAAAAAGTTATGGAATTTTCAATCAAATTTGAAGAAACTACTAAATAACGATATTTAGATCCTTAAGGTGTGGGCCGGGGTTGTGTGACTCTCATGTCACTGATATTTACATATGTACGAATTTTGTGAAAATCCTAAATGGAAATTAATAATAAACCTACGAGTGGTTTCATTTTTATATACCCGTCATCCAAAGAGGCAGTGAAAACTAAACCTAAGTGTTAACGGAGAAGCCTTTAAATTTCGTATTCGCTCAACCCTGACATCTTCTATTCAAGTATATCAGTAGTTGTTGTTAAACAGGAGAAAACGTGTAAAATTGGCATGGTATCATTTAAATGATTAGTATAAATGTTTAAGCGGAAGCTCTAACATCTGATTCTTACTAGTTGTACATTCTTTTTAACGAGACTCGACATTCTGTTAAGAGAGGTTCAATTAATTTTCACCTCGAATACGAATAGCAAATGCCATAATATGAAGAAAATCGACTGTTAACAATATTTTTAGAAATATTTTGACATCAGCGCCACCTATCGGATTTTATTAATTTCAACATCGACATATAAATTTTCTAATTTGAGCTGAATTCAGTTAGAATTAGTAATCTTTGATTACAGCAACAAATATACAGTTATTTTAGTGTAAGGTGTACATACATATATATATATATATATACAATTATTTTCATATTTACATATGCACAATATCACATTTGTGTACTCATTTCCATTTTTATTTATATTTTTTCATTTTTCTTGCAGACAATCATATTTGCATAACCAAGCGAATAAAAACCAATATTTATAATACAACAATTTAATCCCACATTATGGACAGCAAAAAGTTCACGCTACCGCATACGGCAGCTGAAAGCTTGTAAAGCTGCTAGCGCGCTCCACCAGATAAAGCAACATATGCCAATTGTTTATCGAAGACATGTAAATTGAAGGGATGTGCGCACGAAGCGCTGGCATTTAAAAGGCAAGAACCAAGAGAACTCGCCTGTGAACACAAATACACGCAAACTCACGCATACACTGGCATGCATTTGTGGTGAGCTGGCAGAATGCGGGCACGCAGAAACCGCAGCAGCCAATATATTGCCCACTTTTATTGTTTTTATTGTTGTCGTAATAGCGAAATGCAAAGCAAATGATAAGCGTGGAGCGCGGAGAGCTGGAGCGGTAAGCTCACAATTACAGCAGCGATTGCGATGACGCTAAGCGGATAACAAAGAATGCAAATGGCAGCGGCCAATGCAAATTGACAATGCAAAAGGCGATGCGAAAGACAAAAGCAAAAGCAACGCATTTTGTTAAGAAGTACTCATAGTGGAAGAAAAAGTGTAGTGTAGTTTAATATAGTGTAGTGAAGTGAAGTGTGTATATGCGCCTAAAAGCAGGCAGTGCGTTTCAAGAAAGTCAAGAAAAAGTGGAAAACAGAAAAAGTTGCGGAATGAAATTGATAGAGGAGTTTAAAAATGCTTTGTCTACAGCTTGGTAAGTCCGATTTTATTTTAATTAATATACTTATTTATAAACTTGATTATAATTTCACTACTTTTGAATTATTTGGCCTTTTTTACATAGTTATGTTCTGATTATTATTATATTGTAAGTATTTGAATATATCATTTTTCATTGTTATTACTATTACCTATTTGCAAATGTACCTAAGAGAAAATTTATTTTAAAAAATTCTGAATTTGATAAAAAAAAAACTTATTTTTCTTTTGGAATCTATTACCTTGAGATTTATGCGTGGTAGTGGTGCAATTACGCCCATCTACGAACTCGTATTTTTTTTTTTTTTTTTTTTTT